AAAAAAAAAAAAAAAAAAAAAAAAAATTGAAATTGGTAAAACACGTTAATAAAAATTTATTGCAATATATTAATTAACTACAATAACTAACCAAATACAAAAATGCGCCTAAATAAATAAAAGTATTTATTAAATAAAATTAATTAATAAAATATAATTGTTCTTTTTATTTAATGCGAATTCTCTTAACTTTTGGAGATTCGGATAATACATTGTAATTAAAATAAAGTGATCTATTTTCATATTCTATTATCTCCTGTATTGCGGATTTTTGTTTAAGCAAATCACCACCATTTTTGAGTGTTTTACGAAAAAAAAAGTAGAGACTTGATTATGGTTCTTTTTCTCGACAGCAGAACAAGAAAATGCTTTAAAACCCCATCTTTTATGCTTTTCTAAAAGTTCTCACCCGTGATAAACCAATGCATGCATATAAGGGGTTATCTGATTTAGCATATATAATCCTCGAACATATGTTTTTGGATGAGAAGGATTTCCTTGTAATGGAGTGAGAAACAGAGATAACCACTCAAGAGATTGCTGCTTTAATTGTGCTGGATCTGTATTTTTATTTCGGAGGGCACAATACAATTCATAAAATCCATCCCAAAGCTTACGAATTAATTCTACACGAGAAGGTTTGAAGAGTAATTTTAAATTAAAAAACTGCAAAACAGTTTTTTTGTCATCTCCCATAAGAGATGTATATTTCCAAACGTAAGATTTTTCATCTTCCCAGAAGTGAAAAGACACTTTTAATCTTTGCATTTCACCCAAAATAACACTTCATGTTAGATTATTAAACAAACCATTTTCTTGGATTTCTGCAAGCATCAATTCCCAGAGTCTATCAGTAATTCGTAAGAGAGCATGTAATTCATCAAAGATTATGTTTTCTATTGGAATTATACTAAAGAAAGGAGGATTAATATGTCCGTTGATTTCATTATAGTTTGTTATAAGTTGATCTATACTTTTTTCAATACACCAATTTCTATTCAAATCTCCAATTTGATTTTTTGAACAACAGCACCAGGGGCAAAAATAGTTTGCAGTAAGGCCATTTAATCCAAGACAAATAGCCAAAAATTTCCAATCGGAACTGAAGTATAGTTCAAATTTCCACAAAATTCCTGAGACTTCTAACCCATTTTCTTTGAATGATTTTAGTTCATTAATAAAGAGACTTAACATAAATTTAAGCGTATCGTATTTTTCAGTACAAGGATATAACGCAACAGTGTAATGATAATCTGCATGGTGATGTCGATTTTTATGGTTTAAAATCATAAATATCACCATAACATGTTTGATCTTCCGTCCAACGTTTCTACCATCTCCAGAAACACGCAGATGTATAATTGGATCTGATGATTTTAAGATCTGCTATTTTTGCAATTGAGGAATTAGATAGACCAAAATATCTTTTGCATTACGACGAATTCCTAATCCCATAGTATTAATAACTTCTTGTACAATCTCAGGGTTCATAATATCTGGTTCTTGAGATGTAATATTATTTAATTCATTTTTATCTTTCATATTCACTAACGAAAATTTAATTATTTTATTCATATGTTTGGTAATTGCAATTCGCTCATTAGAAACAGTATTTTCACGTGGTAAATGATGCTCTGTAGCAGCTAAATCTCGATAAGAATCTCTTGGTATTTGTCCTTGATCTATAGCTTTCACTATAGATTGAAGTTGATAATCTTTTTCCATTTGATTTTCATCTTCTTCGTAATCTAATTGAAAATCCAGTTTATTAACTAAAAATTCAACTGATTTTAATACAATTTCGTCAGATTAGTGATAAACTCCTTTGATATCATTATTAAAACTAGCCCGTACTTTTGATGCAATTTTTTTTGCACGTTTTTCAAGCGTTGATGAAGTACAATTGATGGCTGGTTTAATTAAATTGCCTCTTTTCCTGGATTCACGTGCTTTTTTTACACTTTTTAATTGTAATCCAAACACAAGAGGACCTGAAAGAGTAGCTTTTGTTTCTGGTTTTAAAGCCTAAAAAATGCAAGGAATAATACCTGCAATTAATTAATAATTAGTATTATATAGTAAAAAATTTATATAGTACATACTCTCTCATAATTATATGCTGCATCAGATGGAGATTTGCTCGAAAAAACAACATATTGAAAGTTGGAGCCGTATTTAATACGAAATTGTGGTATTTCATTAATATAATCAATTTCACAACGAATAGTCTTCTTTTTGGATGCACGTCCCCAAGTTGTTTCTACAATATAACCATGTGGAATCTTATATTGTTGAACTGGTCTTTTTTTTCATTTGTTGTTGCTGGTACTACTACAAATTACTGAATCTTGTAGACTCTTTGGTCCAGTTTGAGTTCCATTAGGATAAACACCTTTTTTTATAATTACATAGTTGAAGCTACGTTTAGTGACTTTATTTACACGTTCACGATACAAAATATTATTGTTTATTGGATAAGTAGAAACTTCTTCAATTTGAAATTCGTCAATATTTTCTTGGTCAGTAATATTTTCTCTATCAGACATTATTTCCATTGTTGAAAATAAGATTTTTTTCAATTATTAGTGATAATCTTCACGTGTTTATTTATATGGTTCACAGGTTTATTTATATGGTTTACATGTTTAATTTCCCAAATTATAAACCTGGTACTGATCGTCATTAGATGACCATATATATGGTGCATTCCTTCCATTCCGCAGATCGGTGGATATGCTAAAATCTTATATTATACTTAATAATTTATAAATATAATAATTTGATTGGCTGGCTATTAAATAAGAAAAAGTATAATATAATTTGTAATTTATTCATTTTTATTAAAATATAATTAAATAAAGGATAAATCTAATTGTAACAGTCTGTTACGCGTCTTATTTGTAACAACCCCCAATTTTATCCAATTAAAATTTAAGATCGGGCGTAATGTAAACAAAAACAAAAGATCAGTTGTGTAACTAAGACAAAAGAATTTTTTAAAAAATTTCAAGAAACTGCTTATAACTTAAAATTTTGTCTATGAAACTGTCTTAAGTACATTAAGTAAAAGTTTTCCAAATTAAATTTTGCATATAAAAATTTTATTTGTGAAACACATTAAATTTATTATTAAAAAAAAACAAAAAAAGGATGTTACAAATAAGATATGTAACAGGCTGTTACAAATACATTTTTTCTTAAAAAAAAAAGAAAAAATTTATTGGACTTCTTCTGAATTATTATTAGTATTGTTATTATTGTTGTTTTCATTTTCTATTTTTTGTTTTTTATATCTTTTATAATAAACCAAAAAACCAATTATTATTAAAATAATAATAATTGGAATTATAATTGCTATAATTGGTAATGATAGTGGTGATGATGCAGCTGGTATTGATGGTGGTGATGGTGGTGATAATGATGGTAATGGTGATGCTGGTATAATTGGATTTGATTGTACAGGTTATTTATAAATATTTGTAATTTCAAATGAAATTTTTATTGGATTGGATAAAATTGATAAAATTGAATTTGTTTCTTTATCAAATCCTATTCCCTAATTACAGTAAAATTTAAAAAAGTACCATAAGTACAAATTGTATATTATAAATTATCAATAAAAAGAGAAATTATATTACCAAAAGTTACAATCATTTGTAAATTAATATAAGTTGAAGTATGACCCATCTTGACTTTAATGTTTTACCAGTAATTGGCTGTATCCAATTGTAGATTGGATTTGAAATATCCAATATAACTAATTCAGGTTTTGAGGAAACTTTATAATAATAACCTCCATATACAATAATGGTATTAAATTTAGCTAAAAAAAAGTGAAATTTAGAATAATTAATAATTTTTAAATGCTTTATAATTTAAATTATTAAATTCTTACATAAGACTGCTGAGTGCATTTGTCGGCCTTCAGGAATAATTTTTCCAGTTGGATTCTATAAGTTATCAATTAAATGTATTAAATATTAAAACAATATCTTCATTTTATATTTAGTCATTACCATTTTTGCATTTGACCAATTATCTTTTAATGTATTGTACATGGGAATCTAAAAAAAAAATAGGTAGTAAAAATTTATTTCTTTTATTTTAAGATAATTTGCTTAACAAACCTCATTCATATTTGCATAGGATTCATCTTGAAAAACCCCTCCAATATAAAAAATTAACCCATCTTCTGTTAAAGTAGCAGTTATAGGTGTTGTCGAAATTAATTACGGATTTACTACGGTTACGGCACGTGCCGCATTGCCGACTGTAAATTTTATTAAGGCATTAAGTTCGGCCAGAGTTAAATGATCTTCGTGATAATTTCCTTTTTTGGAATATAGTGTAACCATTGTGTAACTCGATTCTCCATTTTTGATGGGAAGCAAATTTTCCTTTTATGGAAATTTGTGTAACGTCATGTGATAACAACAAAAAATTCGGACGGCATTACCAGCATTACCGGCATTATAACCCTATTTACGGCATTACAGATAATTTACAGATTTCGCCGAATTAATTACGGTATAGCCGAAATGCCAAAATTGCCGTAATTCATAAATTTTGACGACAAGTATAGTAGCAGTATATCCATATCTTGCAAGTGGTGGATTATTATTTACTTCAAGTGACCAAATTGAATCTTGCAAGTTCAAATTAAATATAATCATTTTGCCAAAAGCATCACTTTCTGATCCAACAAAGATATATATTTTTCCATTATTAATTACGGCCTGAAATCCTTCACGTTGCTGTGGAGGTATTCCAGTATTCGGAAAAACCATTCTTCTTTACTAGTACAGTGACACCTCTATAAGTGCACCCTCTATAAGTGCACGCACTATATAAACTCTCTTTAAGTGCACGGTGGATCTGATCCCAACTTATAAGAGCTCTTAATATTTTACTCTCTATAAATGCACACCCTCTCTAAGTGCACATTCTACTATTTTTTTACTATGGTCCCAAGGGGAGTGCACTTAGAGAGGTGTTACTGTACTAGGAAACGGAAATCGTTGTAAGTCCGGAGTGAAAGATTTATACAAAAATCCAAATATCTTTAAAAATTTAATTTGTACAAAAAATCTGGCATCCCTAAAAAAATAAAAATGAAAAATGAAACGTTAAAAACGTTTCTTTAAGGTTAAACAAGTAAGAAAAGCCCTTACAATTTACCTTTAAAAGTCTGGTATGTACAAAAAACCTGTGTTCCTAGATAAAAGAAAATAAAAATGAAACGCTAAAAACGTCGGTTTCTTTAAAGCAAAACAAATAAAAAACAACTCACCAGTCCGGTATGTACAAGAAATCCAGAAACCCTAGGAAAAAAATAAGAAAGTCGTTTAAAAGAAAAATATACTTACTAGCCGAAATCTAAAAAAAAAAGGTAATCATAAACTTTTTTATTTGTTTATTTTTGATGTAGCTGTGCGGACCAATCAGAAATGACGCGTGCGGACAACCGGAAATCGCCACGTGACACTAATTGTCATCGACCTTCGTAAAATTATATAGTCCTTCGCTACGCTCCGGACAATTAAAGACATAAATAAATGGGTCATCGAGTTGTGTAGTTTTACCTCCTATAAAAATTATTGATACACCATAAACTACAGAAGTTGCGAAGTTATATCTCGTTAAATTAGCATTTACTGTAAGGTTTTTCCAATTTGCATTGCTAATATCAAATGATTCAGAGAGATCTAAATAAAAAAATTCTTTTTCCTGGGAACCGCCTATAAAATATAACCGTTCTCCTACAAGAGTTGCTGTATGTGTATATAGAGGTCCAGGTGTATAACATTTTACGCTTAAAGGAATAAATTGAAGTAAAAATAAGATTTGCTTTACAAATAACTTATCTAAAAACGAATTCATCGAATTCGTCATAGATACTTTTTGAAAATTTTCTTAAATATTTTAGTAGTTTTTATATTATCAAATGTTATACGAGTTTACCATTGTCTAATTTCCTATTTCGAATATTTACATAATGACGCCAAAGTGTATAAAGTTATTTCTATACTAAGTAACCGTTGCTTTGTAATATAATTTTTATTACACGAATTAATATCCGATGCAGGGACAATAACACAAATCTTATATTAATTATGAAAAAAAAAATCTGCATAACCCATAATAGATGACGATTTTGTTAACACAAAATAAGCGTCTCATTTCTCAAAATCTAAGAAGAACCGACTTTTTCAAAATGAGCCAAATTTCAAGAAATAAAATTATTTTCATAAAGGTTATTTACATGTTTACTTTTTTCATTTATTCTTGCAGATTTCATTATTATACAACCTGATCCTGGATTAGAAGTAAAATCAGCTAAAATGTTTGATGATTCATCGATTTTACTTCATATGAGAAAACAGAGACCGATTGACGATTCTTCGTTAGATGATCACTTTATAATTCGAATATTAGATTCGAATTCTGAAACCCATCAAATCAAAATATTTGACGAAGAAATCAAAGAAGCTGAAAATACCTTTATCCTGACCAATAAATATATTCTTTTAACATATTATAAAATAAATGATATGATGAGATATGGAATGATATGTAATCAAAACGGTGAAATTCTTACAAAGTAAATTAATTCATAAATTCATTTATTTGGGTCTGGTACAAAATCCCGAATGTCAAAATCCCGAAAATCCCGCACCGGGCAGCATTATGCTTAATGTTGGCCAATATTTCGGGATTTCGTACCATTCGGGATTTTGACATTCGGGATTTTGTACGGATCCCCATTTATTTATGTTAAGAAAAAAAATTTAATTATTCTCTTAAAAAAAAAAAAATTGCAGAACTAAAGGTTTAGTTTTAGGTGGGTCCAAAGTTTCGAGTTTTAGTAATGTAATTGTTAATGTCAACCCCGAAGTTAGCTTTCTTTGGCTGACCGGAATTTATAATCCTCCAAACGGGATTAGTACCATTTCATGGATTGTATTCAGTATGCCGTAAGTAAATGTTTGATAATTTCAAGGTATAAATCATTATCTAATATATAAAATATTTGTTTGTAAATTAGAACATCAGATGAAAATATTATAAATAAAAATATTGCAAAACTTGGTAATGATTCCATTTCTTCCGAAGGCGAAATATGGACAGAATATAAAGGATTTCCAACAATTGATGGAGGCTATGGAATAGCATTTATAGGACGTCAACCTGGAATAGATAATAACGAAACACTCAATTTAAATCCGGAATGGTTAATTTATGTTATCTTCCTTAAACATCAAACATACGAACGTATGGAACTATCTCAAATATATCAAGCTAACCTAGGCTTTAATACTATGACGTTTAGAGAATGCAATTTAGCATATGATAATGGTTATATTTGTATTATAAGTGTGAGTTCTTTAGGAGTTCCAATAAAAAGCGGAGAATTTGTAATTTCATTTCTTTCTTCCGGAGCTGTTGTGGGAAAAGGAATTAATCAATTTAATATAGATGATCAAATTCCTCCAGGAAGACAATATAATATTGATGGGGTTGTTTCTTTAGTATACGGAGGGTTTGCTATAATTTTACAAAATATTGATGATAACTCTATTGATAATAGTATATGTTATTCTCCAAACGGTCAATCATTCTTAGAATGTAAAAATTTACCAAAAAAGTTTCAAAAAGGTAAAAATGGATCATTAATTTACGGATTATTATCCAATAATACTTTATGGATAGTTCAGGATGAAATATTAGCAGATGGGTGGTCAATATATTTCTTCGATTTAAGACAATATGTTGTAGACGGTAAGAATAATTTCATTATTATCCCTATGTTAAATAGTTAATAAATTTCCTTTTTTTTAGTTCATGGATATGGGAATCCATATATTGAATCAACTTCACCTGAAAAAGATAGTAAAATAAATTCGACAACAGATAAAATAACAATAAATTTCACAACTCCAATAGTTTTATCGTCAAATGATATTTCAATTTATCAAGTGAATCAACCGCAAGATATTTTAAGACAAAGAACTTCTGCTAAAAATTCAGAATATGTTCATTTAATTAATAAAAATCTAACCATAATTGTTGATGTTTTATCAAGCACATTTAATATGCAAGAAACTTATTATGTTTTAATGGATAATAATTTTGTAAAAAATATTACGAATAATGAACCAAAAATTGGAATCAAAAAGAATAAATGGAGTTTTAACACAACACGTAAGTATTAAGTACCGTGGGTTATAAGTAAGGAGAGAATAGTATATGATTTGTTAGGATTATGTTTTACTATTAAAATTTTTCCTCTTTAATAGAACTCAAAGAATATAAATACGCAGGTACTTACAACTCTACATAAAATTTAATTCATTTGATTTCCACACATCTAACAAATAAATGTAAAAAATTTTAGAATCAGCAATAGTATCAATTAGTCTTGATGAAAGTTATTCACGAGTATTTGATGATTTTACATCACAAGAAAGAAGAGATTTCTTAGTAAATTTGCAAAATAAACTTTGTCAAATTATACCTGTTGGCGATAAACAATTGAAATTTACCGGAAAATATAGAAAAGATTCTTCAATTTCACAAATTCAATTAGCTTTAAACATTGATAATATAGACAATGGCAGGAATATTAAATCAATTATTGATGATTTAGATACGCTTATAAGAAATAAAGATATTACGCAAATTTCAATGGTTGAACGAGTTGTTTATTTGGATAAAGATTATGGATGCAAACACGAACGTAAGATTACTATAACGATAATATATTTAAATTTTCCTTTTATTATTAATTCTTTAATTCATGTAAATTTTTTTTTTTAGCAAATATTATTGATCAATTACGTGATACAGCAATTATTGTATTTCCTGCTCTCTTTTTAGTAGCTTCTATATATTTTATCTCTAGATGGTGGTGTAAAAACAAAAATGTAAGTTTTATTATTATTGCATGTATACATAATAATAATACTATTATCCTAAACTTAATTATTTAATTTTTATAGAAAAAAGATCCAAAGGAGTGTCACAATCGGATCATTATTTCAATAGCAGTAATTTTAAGCGATGTTGTATTTGATTCCTTATTTACTATTAATGATTCAGTTGAAGTAAATCTATACATTCCGAGGTACAATTTTACGTTTTCGTAGATTTGAGATTTTTTTTTACGTATTTTTTTTTACAAGTATTGTTAATCAAAAACATTTTTGAATTAGTCTGGTATTTTTTGTTGTTCCATTAATATTCAATTTAGTTATAATAATAACGAAAGAAATCAAAGATAGTTCTGAATTTCGTAGATGGTTTAAAGATAATAGTGGAATTACAATCATAACAGCAACATTAGCAACAATAAATATTAAAATGTTGAATATAATTTCATCAAATTTTGGTGGATTTAATTTTTTTAATGCTAGATTTTCTGAAAAAACCGAAAAAATTATATTATGTGGGGGTTTCATAAGTTTTATGATTGAAGATTTGCCTCAATTAGTAATTCAAGTAAGCGAACTATTATCCGAATGCATGTGAAAAATTTTTTTAAACCATCACTATTAAGCACAGCTTATTTATTTCTTAATATTTTTAGATTCTCTATTCTAATAGAACAATTGCTTGGAATATAATTCCTTTACTTTCATTAATTAGCAATGGATTTATTTTTGTGATGGATATTTATGAATATTGGTTTGAAATTTATCATCATATACAGGGAAAAGTTGTGAATAAAAATAGTAGCAATAGTTCAACTAAATTAGATGAAGATTCGTTAGAAACTTCATTAGCAATAACACTGACTAATTCAATTTCTATTGTTAATAAGGAAATAGCCAACAATGATGACATTGAGAAAAATGATGAATCTAATGTTAATGAAATCTCTCCAGCTGAAGATAGTATAAATTATGACGAAAAAATGAATAAGGATGCAAATGTAAAAATACAACAGCAGAAACCAAAAATTGGAATTGATGAAACTTTAAATTCTGAATCAGATATTCAGAACGTTATTTAAAAATTCAGAATGAAATAATATCATTATAAACTAAATAGTTAATAATATCAAATCATATTATAAGGATATAAATTATATTTAAATCATTATCAAAAATAGGAGATAATCATAAACTAAAAACGCACATTTTCAAAAAAGGAAATGGTCTGTTTCGTCACTATAAAATTTCCTCTGGCTTTCTTCGATTATCTACTTGAGCTCATTGAAACTACTTGTATATTTAACCTGCAAGCATATTGTGCATCGATAATCTGTCCTATATACCTATCAATTGATATGGAAATTGACAATTTGGAAACTCCGGGTCCAAATGACGTACAGAAAAAACGTTCTAGAAAGGATTCTGAAGGAATTGAGTCAGTACGTATCTACTGAAAAATTATCCAGTAAAAAGACAAAGAAGTCTAAGAAGTCAGTTGATAGAAATAAATCTCTTACATTGAAAAAATTAATTATAGAATTGCCACCTTCCTGCAAGAAGCTTCTTCGGGAAGTACTATCAGACGTCTCTGAGATGGACATAAACTCGCTTAATTTTCGATTTATACAATAAGATTAGTACTGCCGAAGACAATCTTCAAGAAACCACCCATGATTTTGATTCGATGTCATTATCATTTTGGTCAAGCTATTAAGCTATTGATTGATCATTTTAGAAAACCTGCAACGAGGATGTATCTAATGCTCGAGTTAACGATACAATCAGGGATCAGATTTCTGCGCAAGATAAACTTACCGAGACTAACAAAGGAAAGAAGTAAAGTTTTCAGGCTTTTTAGCAACATTAGTGGTATAGAAGTGATAGAACGGATAAAATCTTTTAATTTTAAATTTATCCCAGATGATATCAGTTGATTTCGGCTACGCCATGATCTGATTAATCTGATCGAAATATCTTCCCCAGTATCGCCAGAAAATTTTTTCACCCACGTGACCCTAAATAATTTGTCACCCGTGTCACATCCCTCCACTTTCTCATTTTTTATAAGTATTCTGGGGACTCGATTTTTTTCGGTGTCTAAAATCCTATTCGTCACACGTTATTCGACACATGGTTAATTTCTTAATTCCAGCCAAATCTCATAATGCCGGCCAAAGTCACGTGGGGGTGAAAAAATTTTCTGGCGATACTGGGGTAGATGATCGAAATAGCTGCGGCACGTGATCGTGAGATAATAGATAATATATTAAACGCGCTTTTTCACGTTGAAAAATAAACGCGCTTTCTCCTTCATTTTCCTTCGTTAGATGTCTAACTACTGGAATAAATATTTCGACGAAACCGACATAAAGTCCTGGGACATTCTCCAGTTTTACAAAGATTGGATATGCACTTATAAACAAAACCCTGAAAAGCTTACCTATAGAATGTCCACAGACGCGCTCGCTAAAAGTCTCCGTTCAATCGTTAATAATAGTCCAGACACCGTGAAAGTTGAGAAAGCTAAGAACTTATTGTCCGATCTTGAGGCGAGTAGCTCATTTTGTCATATTTTGTGATATTTTGTGAAAGCTGCAGTAGGTTCAGTAATGTTTCCAAAGCAAAGATGAGCTTTCTTCTAGCGGCTCATCTGATGATCTTCTAGCTCGCTATGGTTACAGCATCCACAAATAGGGTGAACATTCTTCTAGATGTTCGTCTGATGGTCTTTTAGCCCGTTGTGGTTGCAACATCTATGACTAGGATGAGCATTGTCTTTTAGACATGCTCCTCTGATGATACTTATAGCTCTTGTCATATTTGTTGGCTTATGACTAGGAGGAGCATTCTTATAGCTGTTTCTCTGATGACTCTTCTAGCACTTGTCATGGCCCTGCTGACTTACTGCAGCTCTTTGTTTTTAAAGCTAGATTTAATCAATAATATTTTTTTTTTTAGTGCGGCCAGAAACACAAAAGTGGCAACTGTATAGATAAATTATGGATCAAAATAGAGAACAAATACAAGGAACGCGAAAGGACAGATGTCATGTGTTCGGATACGGGAATACAGTTGGCAAATTGTAATGGAGTCCGAATTTGTAACTTTAGCTCTAGTGGCAAGCGAATTTATGAAAATGGGGAAGGAGTTGTGACTCAACAAAAAAGGTGATATAACGAGTACTTTTCTATTGTTTCGGGTAACAAATAACTTACGTTTTTATCTCGCAATCAGGACAAAATTGAAATCTGTGAATGTCAGTGATCAAGTTGACGACTTAACTGATGAATGCATGTCAACACCTGTTGATGATTTGGTAAGTCTTTTCTTGAGTTTGATCTTCGTGGTTTATCATTCTGAATATCTTTTGATTTCGATGATACATAAACGTCACAAACCAGAGTGATAGCACGACTACGTCCACCACAAAAAACAAGCCTAAATACATACAACATGACTTCAGGACAAAATTGAAATCTGCAAATGTCAGTGATCAAGTTGACGACTTAACTGATGAATGCATGTCAACACCTGTTGATGATTTGGTAAGTCTTTTCTTGAGTTTGATCTTCGTGGTTATCATTCTGAATATCTTCTGATTTTGATGATACATAAACGCCACAAACCAGAGTGATAGCACGACTACACCCACCACAAAAAGCAAGCCCAAATACATACAACATGACTTAGCTCAAGAATTGTTAACTAGTTTGCGTTTGCTTCCTTTGAAAGGCGAAAAGTGGTTATGGAATGGTTATGATGTTTGCGGCGTTTTTCAAGATGATGGCAATGCCAGAACGTAAATTTCTAGAATACCTGAAATATTCGTGATCCTTTGTGAAATTTTCACATTAATGCATATTTTATTTCTTGAAACAGACCATTACACATTGGTGTTGTCAATTTCCACAACAACTTATGTTCCCGATCTCTACCACCATCCATGATTACATTTATACAACAACAAATGGAAAACGATGATGATGATTGTATCTTTTTTGACGATAATAGGCAACATGGAATAACCAAGTTTGTAATAGAAGTTGATAAAGAAGTTGTGGAGTTTCTTGAAAATTTCAAGATTGTGTAAGCTTATGTTCTTCGAATAATTTAACAATATAACTTCAGACTAAACAATTATGTAATTGCAGGTAACACTAGACGCATTACGAAAAACATTGTATAATAATTCAGTCTATGAATGCTCAGATTGTAATTTTGATATCAAATACGCATATCAATTTTTCTCGCATATGTGTGTAAGGCTTTAAACTTCTGCTACAATTTTCAAAGATGCTATCTTTTGAATACTCATTTTATATTACGTCTTTTCATGACAAGGTACAATATCTATTCAAACGATATGCTAACTCGGCCTCTTACTGAGACTGAATATGCAGCATATGTGTGGACACCACTGATACGGTATGCATTCATGGAGAAAGAAAGACATTCGCATTTCTAGGTATGTACTGCCTGATACTTTTTTGTTGCACCTATACAATAATAATTTTTTTTTTTATTACAAATTTCAGCGGGGAAGTTGGATCTCTTGCGTATGAAAAGTTAAAGAAACTATCCCAAAAGCAGTCTAAAAGTGGTCCAAAACTAGACGCAAAAGCAACGATTATATCAACAGGAAACAGGAATGGAAGTTCTAGTTCAGGAAAATGCGAAGACTGATATCACTAGCAAAAGAAAAAACGACTTAGATAAACTTGAGTATTGTACAAAGATCTTGCTTACTAATGCTTATTTAGCCCTTCCTACTACTGCTCGCCAAGATGTACACAAATTCGAGACGTATACTATCCAAACCAATGGTGAGTATCTCTTCACATAAAAGTCACAGTTCTTCATATATTAATAATAGATCTGATATTGTAATATATGCTCTAGAACTTACGTTATCATTATCCGCGGCATCATACCTATTTGAGAATACTGTATGTATGTTTGGGTTAACGGATATTTCAATTCCACGAACAGTCGAAGCTTTTCCAAAATGCGTCGAGGCTATATATAAAGTGCTGTCCTGGAAGGTTTGTATTCTGTTAACAGCAACTAATATTTGTCCCTTGGCTAATATAGAATCTATCTACTTGTACAAGGCACGTTCTTGTAGAAATACAAAAACATTTCACGGACTACTTAAAAAGGCAGCTACCCAACTTCCCAAAAGGAAGTTCTTCTCTCCAAAAAAACTTTCAGATCCAAATCTTGTAGCGGGAGTTCGGAAATAGTATCTTTTAGACGTGATCTCGTGCATTTTCTTATGTAAAATATGTAAAATATGTTATTAATGGGAAGTCATGGTATCTTTGAATTTTCGATTTACTATTTACTATTATATTATTAAATTTACAATTTATACTTAATAAAGTTACTTGGCATGTTTCTATAAAAAAAAATATTTGTCCTAAGGGCTGGCGATACATGCACGTGATGTTCACAATTATGACGCGTCATCTCATGATTTACGCTTAAACAAATTAAAGTTAAAAATGAATTCACCGCTTAAATATTTTAGTTTATATATTAACCATTGTTTAATTTTCTATTTCGGATATTTAAAGTGTATGACAAAGTTCATATTTATCTTAAGTTCATTTTTTTTTCATTTGTTCTTGCAGATTTCATTATTACACAACCTGATCTTGGATTAGAAGTAAAATCAGCTAAAACGTTTGATGATTCATCAATTTTACTTCATATGAGAACCAATTGACGATTCTTCGTTAGATAATTCAAATATTAGATTCGAGATATGGAATGATATGTAATCGAAACGATGAAATTCTTAAAAAGTAAATTAATTTATAAATTCTTTTTATTTACGTTAAAAAAACTTAATTATTCTCTTAAAAAAAATTGCAGAACTAAAGGTTAGTTTAAGTGGGTCCAAAGTTTCGAGTTTTAGTAATAATACCAACCCCGAAGTTAGCTTTCTTTGGCTGACCAGAATTTTTATGATCCTCCAAACGGGCTTAGTACCATTTCACGAAAATGACCTGGTCATTTGGCCGTTTTTCGGATTGACTTAGGAGTCATTTTTTCAAATGACACGATGTACAAAAAAGGAAGGACGTGTAAAATAATCACCAAACTATTTATTTTATTTATTTTCCTAATTATTAAAGTGATAATAATATCTGATGTTATTTATTATAAAATTTTATTATATAATTATATGCATAAATAAAATGTTATGGCCATCTTATGATTAAATAAGACAACAATTATATATAAAAATAGTGAAAAATAAGATCCACTACATGTATTTAACTTTTATCAATAATCATCAGTAAAATAATTATAAGTGAAATAATCCTGTCTGTAAAATCACTATCAGTAAGTGAAGAAATAATTTTTGGTAAATATAATATTATTAATAAATTATGTGATTTAAAAATCTTCACTACTATTAGAATTTTTTTGATTATACACATTAAACCAATTTTGTTTTAATATTTTTATTTTCTTAATTAAAATAAATAAAATAATTAATAAAAATTCTCAGAATATTTAATATTTTTCAAATGACTTAAATGACAGGTCATTTAAATTGCAAATGATAAATAACAAATGATTTGTTATTTGAGTCTTTTGTTCATTTCAAGTTATTTGCCAAACACTTGTAATTTATAAATTGTAATAACTAATAAGTAAATATTTAATATAAATCATTATCTAATGCATAAAATATTTGTTATATTTTATTATAAATTATTAAATAAAAATATTGTAAATAAAAATATTGTAGAACTTGGTAATGATCTATTTCTTTAGACAGAATTTAAAGGATTTTCAACAATTAATGGAAGTTATAAAATAGTATTTATAGAAAACTTTAATTTAATTAATTATAAAGGATTTAAAATTTGTGCGCACCTGCGCATATGCGCACTCCCATAGATATATTATATATAAAAGTCAAAAATGACATTCTAAACACAGGTCGAAGGGGCACCATTGTCCAAAATTCAAAAAATGCAAATTCCCCATTTTACTGGAAAATGGTGAGAAATTGTGGAAAATGCTACATTACGCTGAGCAATTTTTTGGAATAGCATTGTTACAACATTGTCCGATTTAGCAAATCTTATGAAATTTTGGGAAAATGCTACATTACACCTCAAATGTAACATTTCGTAACATTGTTATAACATTGTTATAACATTGTCATTAAAATTAAATTTTGCTTTTTTTTTGTCAAATGATCCAATTTTCTTGCAAATGGTGCATTTTTATGAAAATTCCACATTTTACCTCAAATATAATAACATTTCATAAAATTGTTATAACATTGTCAATTAAAATCAAATTTTGCTTTTTTTTTGTCAAATGTTCCAATTTTCTTGCAAATGGTGCATTTTTATGAAAATGCCGCATTTTATCTCCAATGTGATGTCATTGTAACAACATTTCATAAAATTGTTATAACATTGTCAATTAAAATCAAATTTTGTCAAATATTCCGATTTTCTGGCAAATGGTGCATTTTTTTATGAAAATTCTATATTTTTTGTCAAATGTTGCATATTTTCAGCAAATTTTACATTTTTTTGGTCAAATATTTCATTTTCGTCAGAATGTTAAAATATTACAATTTTTTTTTGGAAAATGCTTAATAATATAGCATTACACTGGAAAATGTAGCATTTTACCAAATTACACTAAAAAACATCACAATTATCACATTTTTTGGAAAATTTCACATTACATTAAATTACACTAAAAAATGTATCACTATACTAGATTATGCGGCATTGCACTAAAAAATACCGTAATTACACTAGAAAATGTAGCATTACATTAAAAAATACCACAATTATTATATTTTTTAGAAAATTTCGCGTTATGCTGGAAAATGTAACATTATGCTAGAAAATTCGGAATTGCACTAAAAAACGCGGAATTGCACTAAAAAACACAAAAAAATACAACAATTACACTGGATAACGTAACATTACACTTGATTACATTAAAATAGTAAAAATTTTTTATTTATTTGTAAAAATCATGAACATTATTAAATTTATAATATTTATAATATTTATATTTAACATAAATTCACATTGTTAATATTAATAATGTATC